GAATACATCTTGTCAACAAACAGATGGTATTAAGTAACTTAATACTCAAGTAGAAAGAAGGAACTGGAAATGAATGAAAACGTTCACTTTAGCTAGTTGTTAAAGCTAAAGTTCGAGGGTTCAGTTAGAGAAAGGAAATCACGATTCTGGCACAGGGCTAGATAAACTAAATTTATTAAGAGACTATAAGCAAGTAATCCAACTTTTATTAGGTTGAGGTCTTCTAATAATTAAAAAAAAAAATATATAATACGTTTACGAATAACAACCAAACTAAAATTTTCAATAATTTTCATATTAAAACTTTCGATGTTTTCAGAACCAACTCAAGCAAATAAAAAATAAATAGCAGATTGGTCTGACAGTGTTTTAAAAAATATTCTAATGGACTGTAGTTACAGGTTTCGCTCGCGAGCTCTATGCGTAAGCAAAGCTGAATCATTAATGTACGTTAATTGAAAATTAAGAAAATCGATCGAAAATTTTGTTTTTAATACCATCTTTCATGTCTTCGGACCCAAATGACATTAAGAGATTTTTTAGCCATTTTAGCGGAACTATTTTCAGAGGACTCCCATAAATCTGTGCATCTACTATTGTCGAAGGGCAAAGGTAGATTGGAAATATGACTTTTTTTAAGATTTTTATGACATATTATTACTTCAAAATGGGTTTGATATTTACACAGAATTCAAAATAACTTTGAAGGGAAAATAAGATCGTAAGCCACAAAAAATAGGCAATTCTGAACTTGAAATTGTAAATCGAATTTAAAGTAATTAAAACTAGTTTCGGGTTGCTTAAAATTTTTTTTATTTAAATGACTTTATAATTAATATTAAATATATTAAAAATTTAATAAATACATATAGGTATGTATGTATATTGTTAGAATTCTTACAACTGGTCACATTAGAACATTTATATGTTTGTATCTATGCCAACAAAATCATGCTATTTGAGAGTCATGTGCGTATTTTACCGAATTCCCGCCAAACCACCCACCCAAACCCCAATCTAGGAACGAATAATACTGCAGCACACACACATACGTAAATGGATGTACAGTGATTTTCAAAAAAATAGCAGTGTGAAAGTTATACAAATTGGTGTTAAAAATAAGACAATAAATGGAAATGAATTATCTGACGTGATACCTACAGACAGGTGTCGAAAGTGAGTTGAATAATCAATAACATAAACGACTCAAATGTTAACTTAGGTTCTGTTTTTAATCAATTTTTACATGCGATATTTTTTGTGAAGAATGTGACTATCTTTTTTGTTTTTATCTACCAGCTGATCAAATTTGACTCGGACTGGTATATTTAAACTGCGAATGCAAACCCAATCAATAAAATATATGTTTTTTTATTATATTATTATATTTATCATATATCCATATGTCAATTTGTGAGTGTTTGTTGTTGTTTGTTCATGACACGGAAGGTTTGTCTGACGATTATGACCATAGAACAACGAGTTTGCTTGAAAGTTTTAGTTTTCAATGGAGTCACGGCTACTGAATCGTTGAAAATGTTGTTGAACTCAAATTTATCACGAACTCATGTGTTTGAGTGGCACAAAGCATTCAGTGAATGTCGTGAAGTCTTCAAAAATTTGTCTCAGTCGTGTCGTCCATCCACCTTTGTTAATAACTATTATATCCAAAAAGTTAAAGAAACAGTGCTTGAAAATAGCCGTGTTTGTATCAAAGAGATAGCAGAGCTTCTTAACATCTCTTATGGTTAGACTCAACACATTTTCGTTAATGGTTTGGGTATGTATAATGTTAATGCTATGCTAGTAGCAAAAGACCGGAATCTTATGCAAAAAAGACGTCGAGTAGAGATCGTAAAAGAGATGCTTGACAACGTAGCTGAGTCAAAAATCAAAGTGATTCTCGTCGTTTTCTTTGATTAATGTGGTGTGATTCACTATGCATTCGTTTTACAGCGTCAAACGGTCAATAAGGGATACTACATGCTTTGCCGGTTTGAGACATCTACGCAATTTATTGTAAACTATCGGTTTTGTGAGCAGAATTCATGAATTTTTCCCCATGATAGTGCGCCGTCAAATTCTACCATGATTCTGACTGAGGTTTTTGATCAGACACGAAACGATAGTCATCGCTCAGCTACCGTATTCGCCAGATTTGGTTCCCTATGAGTTTTTTCTGTTTTCGAAACTGAAATATCCGCTACGGGGAACGGACCAAGAGTCCGTTGGAGTCATTCACTGAAGGCCGTTCCCGCCGAAACTTATAATAGATGTATGAAAGTTTGGATTAAGCGTTGACATGATTGTATCGACTAAAAAGGAGCCGATTTCGAAGGCGATTAGTCCGGGTTATATTTGATCGTATCTTGTATTAAAAAGTATACACATTTGTATAGGTATGAGCAGTACTATTAGAGTTATTTAAAGTTTATCCAATTTCAAGAGAGCGCTGCTACTGTTTGGAACACCACTGTACATATGTGTATATGTATGTGGTGAGAGTGAGCGCGAACGTAAACATGAAAATTTGAGCTTTTAACCATTAAATCACAGCCGAGAGCCACAAAACAACGCTCACATTCACTCATTCAATAACGTTTCTCATTTTCGTCATTGTAGGTAAACATAGCCGGCAGGTAAATGCTTTATAATTGTTTACAAGCGGTTTTGAATATTTTATTTTGTTAAATGATCTTACAATATTTTACTCTGTTTACTTAACATTAATTACTATCATTTGTATTTTATACTAAAAAATTTTGCATATTACATTATTATTTATTTGAGCGTTTGTCTTGTTCTGTTTCCTGCTAAACGAAGTTCAAATCTTTTTCTTAGGTTAGTAATGATTTTAGTGGAGATTCTGATTCTTGCGAAGCTTCAACATCCTTTTTATAACATAAAAGTGTACAAAAAGATGTTTATTTGTGAAGATATCTTGTGAAATAAAATTTTTTCCATTCAAGGACTTGATTTTGAGATTGTAGCGCTGCCTTGTATCCTAATTATGCCAAATTTTGTAACGATATGTCGTCAAATAAAAATGTTTTCCATGAACACTTAATAGAGCTGATGATCAAAACCTTAACTTGTTTCAAAAATGTTTTTTTTTTTGTTATTTGTAGGGAATACTATTAAGATGACAGTCCGTCGTTTTTTGGCTATGTACACTCTATTGTCCTTCAATTATATATAAACAAGGCACTTAATATTACAAAACATGTTACGAATTTAAGAAGATTTAATAATGTGCGAAATACACACGTGAGTGAATTCCAAAAATTAGTAACTAGACATCTACAAAATGATGGTATACAGCATATAAAGCCAGTGTTTTGAAGGATTTTAACTCTTATATCGATGCCTAAGTACCTACTAACAAATAATCGGTTTGGTTATTCTAAAACCTATTAAGAGCAAATCCAACTATTCAGAGCGCGAAAAACCACGAGCAAACTTTATTTCAGACAATTACATGTGGAAATGAAACACTGTGCTCGTCGTAAAACCGGAGCACTGCAACTTTTACTTCCACTTAGTGCTATGCTCCAGCACACTGCATAACGGTCACACGGGGCATGAGCAACGATGCGTTCAGAGGAAGTGCGCTGCAACAGCGTCTACTGACTCCTCTGCTTACTTACTCCGTGATCTATGGTTAAACAAAACTGCAATGGCATCGTTAAGACAACTTTGCACACCAAAATGAATACATACAACAATATGTAGATTGTGTTGTTGTTGACAAGGAATGCAATACCACAGAGGAATTGGGGTAGAGTGAGGCGCCTGTTTGCCGATGATGGCGTACAAAGTTGCAGCCAAGACGAACGTGTATGCCTGTATGTATGAATAAATAATGTGTGCTTCTCTTTGCGTATGCGGGCGGATGCTCGAAGCAAAATGCTATACTGTCTGCAGCTAACTTGTACTGCACGCGAATGGAGCAACAATCACAGCATTTCGTTAGAGTGTATACACACAATCATTTTACACCTCCCGAATGTTAAAAATAAACTTGTTGATAAAAATACATACGAGAAAGGAGATCCAATGGGAACAAATTCCATATGCGTAAAACGTGCAGATTTCGATGCTACAGATTTTTTAAGGTATGTTAGCCACATTTGTAATGCTAGTTAAAATATTTTATGATGATTCATGCTCTCTGTAGGGCGCTGTTTTATAGTAGCGGGTTTGTGGTTGCCCATAACTGTGGCACGCATTTTTGGAAAAGCTGGTAATAGCCATGATGCATGTCGAATATTATTTTGTATATGAGCAACTGTCAATTGTCTTGATAGTTAGAACTTCACTGCAGCAGACACTTTTCCAAAAATTCTTGGATTCAAGCACATGATTAAACAAACTATGGTTCGGTACAGCTCTCCACGAATCCTTACTCAAAATCAGCCACTAAATATTTCTCGTATGGAAATGTAGGTTTACTTACCGACTTTTTGCAGGGCATTCATGTTCATTTTCCTTTCCAATCCACTTTGCTGCAGGAGCTTTGCTGACTTTTGCGGAAACTGCTACACGCCTGCTGGGCTATTTTACTCGTGTTTTTGTATCACTAAATTCCTTCTGATTACAATTTACATATTCACTTTGATATATCGTACATATGTATGTATAAAATTGCATTTACATATTTTCTATTACTTTTCACTTTTTTGTATCAAGAGCACATTTCGATTCGCACATGCTTATATTTTATTTTTTCCAATTCACTTAAGCGTATTTTTTCACTATAAATTCAATTTGACTTTTTAGCATTTCTTCATTTTAGAGCACTTTTCAGAACGACATATACTTCGCGCTGTCTACACTTCTGCTTCTGTCGCTGTCGCTGCTACTATGTACGCGAGGATGAATGGTACAAAACGAATGTATGTGTGTTGAATTTTTTGCTCCCTTCTGTTGTGAGAGCACCGGTTACTCTCTTTATATTTCATTTTTGATTATACATTTTCGCCACTAGATGTCCGTCGGTGTTGTCTGACATTTTTCTTTACACAATTCGTAAACAAAATAGTGGGTTGATAAAATACACACTTTGTGAGCTAACTGAAAAATACTTAAAATCAAGTTACATGATTTAATGTAAAGAATTAGATAAGTTTTAAGATAAAAAAACATTGATTATAATAATATAGTATAGAGTTAGCCACTAAAAATGTATGGATTTCTCTAATTGGTAAGTTAGTGATGTGAATGACATATGATGATATTCACTATCAATTCGTAATTTCTTAAAATTTTGATATTTCGTTTCTCCAAAGCTAATTTATAAGGATATCTTTATTGCTTAAAATAAATTACTTAAGTAACTTTCGTTTATTTCAATAAACTTTCAGTGTGTAGTATATTCGATTAATTTTGTGTGCTTCTTAGACATTTGTATATCGATACACATACAAGTGTCATCGGCAAGAATTTGTAATAGTAAATTCAATTGGCGCTTTTTAATCCTCCAAATATTAATCTTATTAAAAAATGGATGACGAGGAGAAGCTTGCTCAATGTCGAAATGCCATCTTGGTATTTGTAATCAATAATATAGAAAATAAATTACCTATAAAGGAAGAAGAAATGCGGGAAATACTTGACAAAGATAAAGCACTGTTCAAGGGATGTTTACCTAGTGTAATTCAAACTTTGAAAAAGGTAATTAAATGTTTTAACTTTGTAAATTTCTAAATGTAAAGCTTTTATATTTAATTGGCAGGTTTATGGAATAATTTTGCAGCGGGTACCTGACACTAGGAAATATATTTGCTATTCAGAGTTAAGTGCATCCTCCACAGCAGAATATGATTTGGAACAGATTCGTAATTTAACATTGTTATTTATCATACTGTCTTATTTGTTAATGAAAGATTGCCGCGTGGATGAAGGTATTTCGTTTATACTTACATATATACAATCTCCCAAATAAAATTAAATTACGCTTCCTATTTACAGAGCAATTGTTTAATTTCCTTAAAGGTCTACGGATAGATATCGACGAGGAGGATACATACTTTCAGGGAAATCTGAAAAAGCTTATTTGTGAAACATTTGTAAAACAATTATATTTGAAGCGAGAAAAGTCCGATTCTGAAACCGACATGGAAACAAGGTATGTACATACATAATTTTGAAATGCCTAATTATTATAATTAATTTTTAATATTTTTAGGTATTTGTTCTCGTGGGGTTATCGCGCTACTATGGAATTTCCACCGAAAGAAGTTTTAAGACAAACTGCAGAGGTACATTGTTTTATTAGCTTTTGGTGTGAGATATTTGTAATAAATATTTCTCCTTTTTATGCTTAATTTCAGATTCTTGGCAAGGAAGCCAGGGATTTCGTCGCTATATATAACAAATATTGTTCAAATGATAATAACGAAGAACCAATGGCTGTGGACTAAATTTATTATTCAAAATAATTTCAGTACCCATTAACCTTTTTTTTTACTAATCGTGTAGGTATGTGAACATTTCTAACGTAGTTCTTGCTTTTTTATATTTCTAAAATTACAATTTAACTTATTCTACATTATTTTATAAGTTTATGCTTGTATATATTGTATAGTGTTGTAATAATATAAAAAACTAGATTATTATAAATACTAATGATTCGTCACAAGTATTCAAGTGTACCAGTCTGGCTGTTTTAAAAATATGCATATTTGTATGTTTTTGTATATGTAAACTCGTTTAACTACTTTATTGAGTCCCCCGTCGGAAAACCTAAGAGTTTCGAATGAAACATGGTTACGTTATTCGTGGAATGTTGGAGGATTTTAAACTTAAAAAACTTAATCATTATAGTCAAGAGATTTCAAAATAACTGTTTTTCATTAATTAGATCACTAAATGAATGTTTGAGTGAGCTGTTTCTGTCTTATTAACTGTCAAGTCTTGCTATCCCTATATTCATGTATTCCCGAATAATCTAAAAAAATATGTTTGACTGAAAGCCTATGAATGAAGGGATTTATACATTATTGATTTTCAAAATCGTACAAAACAAATTTGTTTCACCCAAAATTAACAACAAAGTAAATTTAATACAGATCTGATGAGAGCATAAAACACTACGTCGTATTTGACTTATTTTTCAAAAACATTAAAGTAGTAAGTGGGAAGATTGATAATAAAATATATAAATTATTAGAAGCATTCCTGTAGAAGGAGGCCCTCTCCTTTTTACCCTTGGGCCCGGTTTTTCTTTCGGCGGCCCTGATGACAGCTATATGATATAGAGATGCAATCTAAAAATTTATTTGAATATTGTCCCGTCCGATATCCGATATCGACCAATGAGCAGCTTCTTTAGGAGAAAAGGACGCGTGCAAAATTTTAGAGCGTTCTCTTTTTATGATTTTTTGGTCGAGATTCGAGTATATATACCGGAGAAGTCTAATGACCGTATGATGGAAGTTAAAAGTCTTTCAAGCTGTAAGTTGTCTCACTCCGAATTGTGATAAACATGGGAGTTGAGAGAAGTCACATTGTGATCTTTCTTTTCCACATTGGTTTAGTAACTTGTGCCACCGTAACTTGCACAGTACCATTATAGGGCTTATTTATATGTCTTCAGATAATCCATTGTGGAAATCAAATTCTACCTTGTAAAAAAAAAGATCAATCTATGGAAAGCCTCCGAGGCTTTACTTCACTGTTTTGTTTGCTTTTTATATTTCTTGAATAAACACAGCAAGTTTCACCTTACTTGCTAATTCAACATCCATGTATGACGCTTGATTAATGAAAGAACATTATCGATCAGTAATTCGATTCTCATACATACATTGAAGGCAAATCGCGCAGTAAAATCATAGATCGCTTGAATACAGTATACGGTGACCCTTCTTCTTCAATAGCGAGGTCAAACATTGGTTTAACGATTACCAACGAGGTTGCACGTCGGTTTCGGATGAGCCATGGTCAAGATCCACAATCTCATATTTGCAGACCCCGATTGAAGGTGCTCGAGATAACTGCCATAGTAAATATCTCAAAAGAAGAAAACCAAGTTTGCCCATTTCGAACAACAAGCACATCCATGAGACCGATCTAAAGGCTCTTCAGTTGTCGAAACAGTGGCCTTCACCCGACGATTCTGCTTTGAAGAAGTCGGTCCTACCGGCTGGAAAGTTTATGGGCTAACGTTTTCTGTTATTCAAGAGGTGTTATCTACCTATGGGAGCACAAAATGGTCACATTGCTCCAATATGCTGAATTGCTGGATGTATTCGATGTCGAAGTGTGGGAAAAATAGCCCCATGACGGCTAAGACATTGTATTAAAAAAGTCACTTTAAGACATGTATTTTTTAGACGATTTAAAGAGATTTGAACATCGTTGAGTTAAGTGAATCGAGCTAAAAGAAGAAATAAATAACCATTTTTAAAAAAAATTCGTTTTTCCTCTCTAAGCTTGAAGGACCGCCCTAGTACCTATTCCAATGAGCATAACCGTTGATTTTAGTTCACTGAACTGAGTTTAAGTCGTTATATAGATCAGAAAATAAGTCCGGGCCAGGTTTCTAGTTAAGTCTAGTTAAATGTTGCACATTCTTTCTGCTGAACGAGAACATAGCACTGAATTCCCATTCATAACTCTTTCGTAATCTTAATCCCTCCGTTACTGCTACAAAGTTACGAGTTCAATGAACATTTGGTCTAATAATTCATAATTGTGATTCACGTCACAAATATAGTTTCTTTACGAAATGAAAAAAAAACCGCAGTATTGTGTGACTTGAGCAAAATCACTTGTTTTTTTGATGTTTTTGTGAGTGATAACATCTTTTAAATGTCCACCGCGTTCATCGTCTTCGGTGCTCATTTCACTAAAGCTGGCTCTAAAGACGTATTCACATACAACTTTCTTCGCTTTACGTAACAGCTCATACTAAAACAATGAAGCGAAGAAAACAAAGGGTATACCGATATGAACGCTTTGCTTTCAGTGTTTATCTCTAATAAAACTGGCGACTGTTGCTTGACAAATCGTAAAAAGATGAGAGTTGCTCAAATATTTGCTTGGCTTCGCGTTGAAAACTTTTTATGTGAACGTACTGATACAAAAGCTAACTTTTCGGTCAAATTAAATGTCTGACGCAAAGCGAAGCAAAAGCTCTATGTGAATTGGCCATAAGTGTTTCCATTTTTCTTTTTTTTTTTTGTTTATAGTAGGGGGAAGCATCGAAAGCCGAAGTGCGGAACTTTAATCCGCTAAACCTAACCTACTTCCAACCCAAATCTCTCCCACGGAACCACAGGACAAAGTATTACTTCATGGGAGCGAAGAAGACTCTCCTCCATTTATGTTTTGGTATAAGCAGCATTTTATAGTCACAAAATAGTATTTCTTTGCCAAACGAAGTTTTTTTTAAACATTTTTTTTAAATACCAATTTTTTCGTCTCTCATTCTATAACTCTCGTACCAATTGACATATTCTCCTGATGTGAAGTTTATACACAAGATGGAACGTTATGAACTTTATGTTTTCGATAATAACAGTTATTCATAAAGATATACACTTTTGGCTTGGAGGGTATACATAGAAACCACAACAATTGTGGTATCATCTTCGAACCAACAACAACATCTACCACTTTCGCTCCCACCGCTTCAAACCAACACAAAGCCTACATCGCAATATTGCCGCTTGAACATCATCGATCGTCTGAGATCATCGAAGCAAACTTCCTCCAAACAAATCGAGTTGGATAAAGGAAACAGCGCAACAAGCAACGGCGCAACGACACAACGAACAACCACCAACAGCACCAGTCAGACAGTCGCCGAGTTCGTACACGCGCAACACAGTCAGTATTAACTTGAATGCGATACGGTGTGAACGTGAACGTGACTTGATCGCATCGACGTATCGACCGATAAGCGGCTAAGAAAAGCAAAACAAATTTTCTATACGAAACTTGAAGCGGGTAAATTGAACTTGGTGTTTAGTTGAAATTCTACTTGGAAAGCCAAATGGCAACAACAAAAGGCTCTGCTTAAGGAGCATCATTAGCAAGTAAGGTGTAGCATTGTTGTGTCGCACTGCTGCGACGAGTGGCAGGAGTGTGGCGGTGTCAAGAAGTGGTAGAGTGCGTTGCTGGGTCGACCGATGGCCTGATGTGGCTTTATAACTCTTTTTCCTCGCTTTATTTGTTTTGTTGTTGTGTTGTATGAAGTGTGTGTAAAGTGTCTTCGCTGCCATGGTGTTGGCCATTATTAGCAATTTACTTGCCAATCTGAGAAGGTCTTAAAAATATATGCACATACAATATATATAGATATGTATGTATTGTTATATGCATAAATGCCCGTATGTGCGTATATGTATGAATTTATATGTGGATGTGTGAGCAAACATTGTTGACTTTACCTGTGCGCAGTGTTTGCTGAAATATTTATTTGCTAAAATAATTGAAATGTTATTGGCTAAAATAAAAAAACAAATAGCAGCAACAAATATAATGAATTAACTTGACTAAGCATGGACAATGTTTACAACTTTGTGGCAAATGAGGGGTCATTATATCTATTTATTTATCCAGCATACTGAAGTTGAGAATTCCAACTCGATTTTTTTTGTTGTTGTATATTTTGACAGGAAACACAGCAGTTAGTAACTACTAAACCACTAACATCATAAATGCCTTTACTGTAGATATTTATATATGTATGTATGTACATGCAAACATACAAACATACGGTTAAGTGTCATAAAAAACTCGTAAAAATTTGCTGCTACGTTGTTGACAATCACTGTATAAAAAACAAATGTGCAAAAAATTATAAATTCAGTAAAAATTTGCGGCAACAAACCGGCTGAAAAGAGCCACATGCATACCGCTTACATACATATGAACATAGAATATGTATGTGTGTAAGTATACATCTGTTATCTGAGTCAATAAAAAGTTAGTTCGCAACGTGCGTCTGGGCCCATACATATTTGCGTATGTTTATCAATTAACGATGTATATTGATTTTGAATTTGGACTATATCTACGTTTAATAGTTCATTCAAAATACACAAACATACACGCATATGCACATATTTATATACACATCCGGTCAATCAAGTGCGTGTTCCTATGACAAGTTTAAATGGTAATTATACCCTGAACAGGTGTAAAAAGTTTGGCACGAATTTCGTGACGCGCAGAAGGAAACATCAGAGACTCTATAAAATATATATATACGTATATATTATATATTTATGTATATATAAATGATCACCAAGATGAGCTGATTTTGCCGTATTCGTCTGTCTGTATATACGCGAACTAGTCAGTGAGTTTTTGAGATGTCGATCTGAAATTCAAATCAAATATCCTTTTCTGCTGCTCAAGTGTCAGAACCGTCGATATCAGATAATTATAGTATATAGCTGTCGAACAAACAGACCGATATCCTCACGAAATTTGGCGCAGATGATTATACAAAGCATCGCTATAAACTCCGAAGAAATTATTCAGATCGGATCAGTATAGCATATAGTTGCCATTCAAACTCACCAATCAAAATCAAGTTAAATAAAAAGGGTATTATAGCTTCGGGACAGCCAAAGTCAACGTTTTTTCTTGGATTTTTTTGGGTATTGGACCAAAAAAATTTTTTTTCGAAAGATTTAGTAATAAATAAGAAAGAAATTTCGCCGTTTACGAAGTTAGCTTCCAAAATCCAAATCTTATATTAATCATAGTATTTAACCTGCAATAAGTAAAAATATGGGCATCATCCACATTTTCTTTTATTTTAATGGTGTAAACCGTTTTTCGTTTCAAGTTTATTTGACAAATGCTATAAGGGGTCAAGGTCGGTTTCTCCTTTTTGGGGGCTAATTTCGAAAAATTAAAATAAATATTGTTCTTACTAATAACTCAATTTCTCGAAAAAACCGAGATTTGTACGGCGTAATCAATCAGTTGTTGCAAATAAACATACATAAATGACCCTAAAAGTCAAAATAAATTCCAGGAAATATGAGTAAAAGATTCGCGAAACAATAAAAATTATTTGGAAATATGAGATAAGTTTCTGAGAATTTGCATTTCATAATAGAACTATAATGGATAATTAACATAACAAAAAAAATTTTATTAATAAATTAATTTGGGATTTTATTTTGCATTTTTAATGCAATATTTTTGAGTTAATAAATTGGCAGCCCTGCTGTGAAGTAAGCAATTTCCATTGCTAACTTAAAATTTCCTAAAACAAAAATTTGTGCAGTAGAACTATGTACAAGTCGTTGAATTAGGCCTAGGACATGATATTGAAATTAGTATGATATTATTCTTAATGCAAGATTTTCACAGCAAATCTATTAAGCTATCTGATGTACTGGCAGATATTAACGGGACTAAATTAAACGTAAGGATGGAAATCATTATGAGCTATACACTCGAAAGAGACGAGATGGACGAGAGTTGCACTAGCTCTATTGATGCTTACGTAATATCTTTCATAAAATCAAATAAGTTGATAGCATAATATGGGAATTGAGCATGATCCGTTCCAATTTCAAACTGCAATAATAGCACGTCTTGAGGATAATACGTGCCAAACCAAATTTAAGTATATTCAGCATTCACCCAAGTTAGGGTGGGTTGTACGCTTACTCCAATTTCTGTACGGTTTGTTATGAAAGACCTCAGCACTTATCTATACATTTTTCGCTCTTGGTATCACAGTTTTAGACATTTGGCACAATTTCGTTACATGGGTGTTGTTATTACACAATTTGGCTATTTTTAGAAGAACAGACGAGCGAGGAGACTGACATCATAATTCAATTTGTTTTTTCGTAATTACATGCTGTAAGAAATTTATACTCGTATACATTGATTTATTTGTATTTACATATATACAATTTTGGGAAATATTCGAATTTTCGACTCATTGAGTGTCCGCAATTATGTAGTCTTACATCAAAAAAGAGTATACTAACGAAATATTTTTGATGAAGAAAACAATTTGTTGTAACAAGCAAACAAACACCTTTAAAAAATTCAGCGAAATATAAAAATATTTTATGAAAAACAGCTGCTGCTCGACGGCTAAATGCGGCTCCATAAAACAACTGTTTTCTTTTATAAATTCCGTATGAGAATTTTTTCTAAGCTTTTACGAAAGACCCTATTTCTAAGGAGCTATTATTAATATTGATATTATGTACATTACTCAATCATTGCAACGTAAATTTTCGGTACTCAACAGTACAATTAAAAAAAATCACTGCTAAATGCCTTCATAGTTGGAACTTTGATCTTTGTGCAATTTGTCTCTAGATGGACTTTAGGGTATATCCAATTGTAGATTAAAAAAAAAACAAATTTTTTATTTGCATACATGTATGTACAACGAATATATATATATATATAATATTTGGGAATTTTATCCGAACAAATTTTGAAGTTGATCCGGCTAATAGTTTTGGAGATAGAGCGTATTTGTAAGAATATGCGAAAATGCGTTTTTTTCGAAATGCCGGTAAGCAAAATTTCTCCGAAACAGCAGAACTGTTCAACATGAAATTTTCACACGACCTTCTTAGATTTAATTGTCAGGTGCTGATTGAAGCAATAAGATTTTTGACGATAATTTGAATTTTTTATTCCACACTAAAGTGTCAGATGTTTGTCACAAAAAACGACTATTTTTGGGAAGCCGCCATTTATCAAAATACAAAATTTTTATTAGTTTTTCCATCATTAACTATATTCATCTTTAGTAATAATAATCTTTCTAGTTTTTGGATTTGAGCTAATTTTAAGCGGAAAAATCTTTCTTAGCGCCAAACACCTTTTGCGGCTGTCCACTTGGAACAGTTGTATGTGTATTCTTTGATGAAGTATTATTTGGGACGGTACACAGACACAGTATTTTTCAAAAAGCTTTTTCAAAGCTCGGAACTTATCAGTTATTTGTAGGTACATATCGGCTTCACTTCATACTGGAAGATTTTAAAGTACTTATGAATTAAAAATATAAAAATTAATGCGTTTTGTAGAAACCTCTATAAAGGTTTTCAAGTTTTAAAATGTAAAATCAGGGAACGATATGATTAAGAGATTTCTTAAAGCAAAACAAAGCAAATTTCTGGTGCTCAGCAGTTAAACCTTAAGTTTGCAAATACAAAGACTGCCTTTATCCTTATAAACGATTAGCTTATCTTCTGCCTAGATTTAGATTGATCTTCGGACATGTTTATCAAACTCCGCCTCTTCTCTGGATTTATCTATACACCTACATTATATAAACAAATAAAAAATTAATACTACGAATTGATGTGTTCATCATAATGTCCATGTAATATTCTCATAGAATTAAGACACATACTCACATGCAGTATACATATATACATTCACATACACACAAGAAGAGGAAGTGACCATTCCCACGCTCAAATAGATGTTTTATTAACTCATTCTTTGGCCCTTGAAATGCTTTTGTCACATTCTGCTCATTTGTATACATCAGCAACAGCATCAGTCGACACCTTCTTCTCCAGCGGTGATGTACTTGTGCGCCTGTACGCCTGTATGTATACATGTAAGTAAGGGTGTGATTTGTTTTTCTTTTGTTTTATAATGTTGCTGTTGTTGTTTTTTGGTGCAGCATGTGAACACTTTCAGGAGCAAAGAAAAAAGTGAAAAAACTGAGACAGCATACACACAAACGTTCGTAGATGGTCAAGCAAATGAACAGTTGAGACGACCGACAAACAGTTGGACATTGAACGACAATACCTGTAATATCTTTAGAACCAGAAAAAAAAAACAAAAACAAAACACTATAAAAATAATAAGGAAAAGACAGAAGCAACACACTTATAAATCTCACAGACTAACTGGCTAAGCTAAACGGCTTTCGCTTATCGCTTGTTCGGCTAGCTGTGCCGGGTGGACATGCGGCTGTTAGCTGTTGGCAACGGTCATTGCGGCTTGTTGGGCGTCTCACTGCCTCCAGTTAACCGGCTTTTTGACGCTGATCGCATTTTCCGTAATTTATTTGTGCCTC